GAGGACATTGCTCAGATTATCATTTTACCTTTTCCTACTTCCTAAAGCATTCCATCAATTTGGCTTTGTGCAGCTTCAAAAACTCCAAACAGCACCCTCTCATGAAAAACTGTTTTTGTAAATGCTGCAGCATTTCCACTAATTGCTTTGGTTCTCACAACATCTTTTATTTCATTTCTGCTATTTATTACAGGGCTCGGGGGACACACCTGTTGATCACACAGTCCTACAGTAGCCAAACTGTCTAGGGCAGGGTGAAGCTTCACGTGGGTCAATTCACACAGCATCTGACCAGATACAGGGTTGAGCATCTAAGCATCTAGATCACATAACATAGTCCTTAGGCAAGGTTATTTTAATAAATTTGTATGAATTTTCAACATTACACAAACCATTCCTCAAGTTTGAGATGAAATGCATGTTAATTTATAGTATATATGCTAGATATTTCTTTTACTCCCCATATATTTAAAATTTAAGTTGTTCATCTACCTTTCTCATTTCAATTCCTACTTGTCTCATCCTGTAGATATCCTAAGAGCACAATTATAAGATCAAGCCTTATGACGTGCACAGCTGGAGAAGAAATCCCAGTTCCCTCTTTTTATTTAAAATTACTCATGGTTAGGATAATCAGGTTGTAAATGACCCAAGTTCAGTTTCTTTTCTGCCATGAGGGAGTTCAAATGTATCTCCCATTTCCCAGGTTAATATTCCAAGTAAATTACTTTTGTGGGCCTAATTCCATTCCTTCGCATGAGAGAATATTTAAAAGCCTTTGCCCATGTAACCCTCCTCTTCCTTGAGAACGCTCCTAAAGCTGCGCCATGAGTAGGAGTTGCGGTGCGTGCATCAGTGCTTTGTGTCTGCTTAAATCTCTCCCCTTGCTCTGCCTCCGTGACTGCTAAACCTGCTGACTCAGAGCTATTTTAAGGAGTGCTCTTCCAGTTGGTCCAAACAGCATTTCTGTGGATGTGGTGCCATATGCTATGATGCTCCCTCCTCACTGCTCTGCAAAGGTGATGTGGAAAAACTGTAGGCTGTGTTATTTGGGAGCAATTATAACCATGGGTTACAATCCCAGGAATGGTCCTTGAGATCCAGTTTGAAGCTGGGCAAAACCCATCCTCTCTATTTAATGAGAATTTCAGTGGGAACTTGCTTGATAATTTCTTTTCTTGAAATTTCCTGCTACGAGTCTTATAGCCATAGGTTACAGTTCAGGGGGTGTGGTTTTAGTACTGGAAGAACAAGAATCACAGGTTTTATCATCAGAAATTTCAAGGTTATGCAAGACTGTGAAATAAAATGCAGGGAAAATATACTGTTTCAGACACTAATGAATCAACAGAAACCAATCTAAAAGGACATTCTGTGCTTTTTCCTGATAAATTATTGTCATAAGAAAATACAGAGATAAGAACATAGAACAGTTGGAAACTTCTAAGGAAGTAAGTATCACTCCTGGAAAAGTGTTACTCCTTCTTTTTATCAGAAAGTGTTGTGAATAACTTTTGCTGTTCTTGTAGTGGTTCTCACGTTTTGCTGCTCATGTCTGGGCTCCAAGGGGTGCCTTCTTCATCTGAGGGTTCACAATTCCCACAGTTTAGCTCTTCATTTCAGAAACAAAGTCTCAAAAGTAATTCTTATCCTATAGCTCAATGTCTAATGCCTTCTCCTAGCATATTCCCCCCTTTTCCTGAGTGCCTTAGCAGCCAAGCTGTGGGGCTGTTCCACTTGCTGTGGAAGAGACAAACAATCCTTGCTGTGGCAGGTGCAAGCACACAGTTGTTTTTCCCATTACAAGTTACAGTTCTATTCCAATTTTAGTAGCAGAAGAACAAAATAATGCTCTGTTGCATAACTTTAGGTTGCTAAGTGGATACAAATAATGTCCACTTTGCTGCTAATTGTCATTTCAACTTTTTTTTTTTTTTCTTTAACTTTAATATAAACTATCTGTTTGCAGCCTGGAATCTGAAGAAACTAAAATTGAGAGTTCTGTAAATAAGTGCATTCTTTTTCTCTCCTGAGGTAACCAGCACTAGCAATGACAAATGTCGTATCTGTCGTTCATATCTGGGGGGAAATCCCCTGCTGTAAAGTAGGTTGGGCATTTTTCTATAAAATGAGCAGTAATGGTGAAGACGTCATCAGGGCTTGGTGGCACACAAGGTGTGCTTCTCCTTCAGGTCAAAGTAGAGCCACAGTCTCTCAGGAAAAACGTGTCCTTTCATACAGATGCCACATCATTTCCTAAGTAAACAAGGCAGTGTTCTGAGTAGTCACAAGGTGTGTAGAAACTCATCTGGTTGTGCCATTGCTGATTTTGTTTGGTTTTTTATGACTTGCAAGTCTGGTTTTGTGGCACTTTTTTTTTTTTTTTTTTTTTTAAATCTTTGTTCAGGCATTAGATTCAACACTTCCTGTGATTTTATGACCAACTTCAAATTAATATTTAACATAAATACTTTCAGGCTTTTGGTATGCTGTGGAGGCCTATGTCCTTTTTCCCTCTGTTGGGCAGGGCACTAGAAATATGCAATCAGTCCAATGCCTGACTCTGTAAGTTAAAAAGAAAAAGGACTGACTGAATAAAGTAGGCAAAGAAGAGCTCTGTCAGGTAAAAACAGCTAATGAATTACATCTAAAAAGAAAATGCTGAGACAATTACAGTATATTTAAAGCTAAATTCAGCTCAGCTTTGCCTGAACAATGGGGCAGAGCCTTTGGAGAAATGAGTGTGCCAAGAGGGACGTGGTGATGCCTTGCGGCAAACACAAGCCAGACTCCCACGGGAGGGAGAGGGGACACGTGGCACCAGCCAGAGCAGCCTGCACATTCTGGGCCTTGGGAGCAGCCACGTTTATGACTTTTTTCAGCTGCTGCTATTGGTAAGGTTTCTGTGAGGTCTCTGGTGAGTTTTAAACCAGCACAAAAGGAAGTGTGGGAAGATTGCTGCCTGCCTGGCTCACATCTCCCGTGTTTGGAGCGGGTCTGGTTCAGGCTGCAGCAATTAGTGGGTAAAAATATAATGCTGTTAACATGAGTACGAATTACAGAGACAGCAAAGAAACAAACCCTTATTCTGTAATATGTTTGTGGATAAAACAAAGGGAAATGCTTTCTTTTGATAGCTCTGTGACCCCCAAATCAGTTGAGCTGGTTACCTGTTCAGCAGTGAGCATGGTCAAGTAATAGTTTTCCTGTCAGCTTAAATGCACAGGCTTATTTAAGTTTTCAAGCTTAAATCACTCTTAGTAGTCACTGGTTTCTATCAACTGGGAAAAGAAGAATCTGCTGTAGAATTTTTTTTCCTCCAAGAAGAGACTGCTCAGGATCTTCGACAAGAGTTAAACTAGGTCTTTCAGAAAAAAAATAATTTTTAAAAAGTGTTATAATCTGTTTCTAGCTCATAAATGGGAACACACAGTGACCATCTGCTCATTAGCAGTTAATGTGGTCACATTTTTGAAGTGTTCTGTCCTTGCCCTGTATCCTCCTGTGGCATGACAATAATCACACTTGTAATCAGCCACAGTTACTGATAAAGATCTTTACCAAAGGCCAATTCCTGGTGGTAAATTTTGCACTTCAGATTGTGAGAAGCCTTCTGGAACAGCACAGTAAAGGCTGCAGAGCTGATTTGAGATGCATCTACTGGAAATCTAGACATGAAGGCATCGAGGCAGTTAAATCCTTCCGAGACTCCTATTTTTCCACTAATTTCAATTGAGAATTATGTTCCAAATTAGGATCTGGGTATTCAAGTATATTGAGTTTGCGCTGTGCTCCTTAGGTCTTAATTTCAGTCCTTGAATTTTGTAAATGATGGGTATTTATAGAAAGAATATTTGTAGCAATGATTTTCCCCCACCAGTGCTGCAGGAATTGCTTTGCCACATGTCTGGCACTGCCTGGTATTCAAGTCTCTAACAAGGACTGTATAGCACTCCATAAGAAGCACTGCTTAGAAAGGTTGTTTCTCAATAATCCCTTCTGTTCCTGGAATTTTATGCCCTGAAGTATGAGAAAGGTGATCTGTTGTAACTTTTAAGCTTGCTTTATTCATGTGATTCAAGTGAAACAATTACTGTTCTCCTGAAAGACTTAAGCTTTTTTAGATTTCAAAATACTTTGGTCTTGGGTATGTAGTGTAGTTACCTTGGTAAATACATGATGAATTACATACAAAAAGTTTGTTTATTTTTTTGTTTTTTCCAAATCTGGAGAGTCTGAGTTTCATTCCCTACTCCTAATATTGAAAAAGGGGTAGATGGCAGAGCCCAGTTTCCCTATGTTGCATCACCACAATTTTCTTATGACTACTCCTTACACTAACCTGTCTTGGGAGAAAAAAATCGGCCCTGGTATTTATCAGGCTCTGAGGAATGTTCCTATCACAATTTTAAAAATCCCAAGCTGACTAAAATTGTTCTTTAATACACAAGATTTTCAAATAGTGAAGAAAGTGGGGCTGGGGCAAAGCAATTCTGGAGAGACAGTGAGAGTGATGCCCCCTGGGATCAAACCTGTGTTGAAATAGATCCATGAGCACCAGCAGCTAAAATGATGTTGTCTTAAAGGACATCAGGCATCAGGCTAGTACCCTATAGAGATGTTACAGAAACATATATAGGTTTCTTTTGTCCTGTCAGGCAGTTGCAGTGGTGACAGCTCTGTGGGACTGTTGTACTACATGAAGATGCAGGTGGGACTGCAAACATCCTCCGGAGGATCCTCCTGGTGGGAAGGTGGCCTCAGCAGTCCCGTGGCCAGGTCAGCCTCCAGCCAAATCTTCCACATTTGAAGCACTTACCTGGGCTCAGCCCCTGCCTGCAAACACCGGGTTACATGGCTGATTCCTGCCTCTCACACTGGGGTCAGAGCAAGTGGTGCATGGCAGGAGACAACTGAAAAGGTCATGAAACAAGCAGCTATTGACTGGTGACTTGTGCTGGGAGGCAGCAGGCGAGTAACCTTGCTCCATTTTATGGTAGTGCTTCACCTGCAAGTGCCCGCTGTGAGTGAAATTGCCTGGGCTGGTGCTGTCCTTTATCAATTTCACTCTCAGCAGGCTCCGCAGGTGAAGCATTTCATTGTGGGAGTCAGACTCTGCTTTCTCCTTGACAGCCTGAAATAGAAAGTGGAGAAAGGGAAAAAGTAATAAGTGGAGAAAAGCAAGACAGAGAACCACAAAAAGCATGATGTGTGTTAAATGGCAATGCAGTGGAACTAGCCCTTTAAATTTGGGAGAATTTGACACTGAAAAGAGTTTTGCTTAGCTATCATGAGCTTGGCACTTGGAAGTAAAAGAAGTGAAAGGACATTGCAATTAGAAGTGAAAAATTATTGTGAATAATATTATGTTTAAAATACTATGTAAGATGCTGTGGGTAGAACTAAAAGATAATTTTCTGGATCATCAGCCCAACAGAATTTTTGCGGCTGTTTCTGGGAGAAATCCAAGGAAAATTTCTTTTTTCTTGTTTTTGTGAATTCTGCACTTCAGATTTATATGCCTTGTGTTTTGTGGATTTTGTTGAGGTTGTTTTGTTGCCCTTTCTTAAGACAATGTGTGTGACTTGCAGTTTTGCTGGTTTCCTGATGCCACTTTCATTGGCTTCAGAGAGAAATTCAGCAGCCAAGATGAGAACTGCAAAATCAGTATCTGCATCTGAACATCTGACTGCCTGTTACTGGGGAAAAAAGTGCATTGGTTCAAGGATGGGGATGCCAACACAACTTTGAAGTTCCCAGATTCATCTCTTTCCAGTCAGTTACATGCTAGGGCTTACTGGGAGTGGGGGACAGCACAGAGCCAAAACATTGGAGCTGGTTCCTGGTTCCTAGTGGAATTGCTTGCATAGAGACAAGGAGTCTGATTGCAGAGCCACATGCATCCTTCTTTAACTGCAGTGAGCTTATACCTTGAACCAGATCCCTGTGTGCAGCAGGGAACATGGGAAAGTGATGCCTGTAAATCCTGTAGGAGTTCCACAGCACTGGAAACTCTGTCCTAGATATGCGTTCAGGAGGCAATTACAATGTCTAGCCCATCCCTGAAGTTTTGTGGGAAAAGAGCAGCAGGAAAAGAGGCATGTGCAGCTCTACCTGGTGGCTTGTGGTTTGCTGCTGGTTAATGTGGGAAAACTGGATGGGAGGCTGTTGCTGTTGAGGAAGGTGATCTGAGTGGAAAAGATCACAAATCAGCAGAGCTCTTGAGTTTCAGGAGAGGAGGGAGCAGAAGCAGTGGACTAATGAATTTAAACCAGAAGACTTCAACACACTCAAAGAATTGGTAAATGCAGTCTTGTGGAAAGGAATTTTAATGGGAAAGGGAGCCCTGGAGAATTCTCAGCTCCTAAAAGAGGCCCTGAAGATGGGATGAAAAACTGCTCTGATGCAGGAGGCTCCCAGCAGGAACGGGGACAGGCCAGTGTGACCACCTAGGAAGATGACCTGACAGCCAAAAAGATGGTATAAAAGGTGGCTTGCAGGCAGGCAGTACAAGGAAGGCCTCTGATGCTATCCCATAAAACACTCTGATGGGTAAACTAGGGGCATGTGGTCTTCATTAAACTACTGCAGAGTGGGGCAGAACAGAGGCAAGGGATCAGCCAAGTATGTGGAAGGCAGAAGAGGAAAGAAGGTGTGGAGAGAGACGGTGGCACAAAATGGGGTAACTGTTTCCTCTAAGACTAACAAAATAATGTCCAGACTAAAAACTTAGCACAGTATTACAGATCTACCGTTGTAGTTTCATGCAAATGGCTTTGCCTTCTTAGCAATGGTGTGTGTGACTGTAAACAGAACAGGATTTGCTGGATCAGTCAAACTGCCCTAAGCAGACAAAAATATTAAGATCCTTTGCATGAAGGTTTTTGTTTTCCCAAGTAAGGGAGAAAAACAAGCAAACCTACTGCAACTCCTCCCATAATGAATTCCCTTTTGTACTTTAGAGGGTGGAGGTCTCTGAGCACCCAAATTTGAATGACTAGAAACAACCAAGAGGTGTATTTTTCTACTGGGTAGACTGCAAGAGGTGGTTTTGCCAGCTTCCACACACAAACTGGTTTAATAAGGTTATGTGGCCTCATTTGCAAATAAACTTATTTCTTAGGTGCTCTCATTACCCTTTTCAAAGTGATGTGTTAGGAGTGCTTAGATATTTCAGGGAAAAGAGTACACCAGGAAACATAGGTCCCCCTATACATTTTTGTATAAGTTGTCTGCTGAGATAATGTTTAAATTATCACATGCTTTACAATTTTTTTATAAATACGTCCCAGTCAATAACAGGATGGAGGTAAGTGTAAAACTTAATTAAATTAGCAATAAATGGGATTAGAATGCCAAAAATTGATGCAAAACACCAGGTAGGGGAATTATTATCTCTGCTACTCTGTCTTATCAATACATTGTAAACCAGAGTAATGCTGGAAATTTTGAATTACATGCTGATTTATGTCTTCCATAACTCACCAAAGATAATAAGATTATGTAAAAGACAGATAAATGAAAAACTGCCTCTTCAATTTATGATTGGTGGGAAGAACGTTGTTCAGATGTGAAAAAATCCATGCATGTTATTTACATAGGAAAGAGACAGAAATGCTTGGGAAGTCCTGGTGAAATGAAGATGGCTCTCTCAGTGAACTTTTCTCTCTGGAAATTACAGTCTGTTCCTTGGGAGGTTTACTTACCATGGGATGTATGGGACACTGTGCAAATGGGCAGGAGCAGGAAACAGAGGCTGTAATGAAAAGAATCACATCTGACATGTGAATTTGCTAACAAAGCAAATCTCAGTATACCTGTAATGAAAATCATCTCTAAATACTCCTAATGGTGAGTAAGTCTGAAAAGGTTACATGACACTGCTCAGAAAGAGGTGTTTGTTTGCCATTCTTGGCTTTGGATGAGCAGGAATACAGAGCACTGCTGCAGAGAAAATGGAAAATAATATAACCCTGTCAACACCAAGAATTTTGCAAGTCAGCTTTCTTTTTCATTCTCAACTGTCTCAACTTTATTTTTCAGTTTCAATGGCCAAGTCAGCTTTCTTTTTCAGTTTCAATAGCATTTCAATAGCATAGTTTCTGTTTTGCAACATGCAGAACAGTTACAGTCCTAGATTAAAATAAAATAAAATTTAAGTGTGGAAAGGGTAACTACTATTGTGACATTATATGGTGCTGCAGCTGTGTTCACAGATACTGAAATTGGGTGCACTGGCCAGTATGTTGTACATTGGATGCTTGACAACACTGTTTCAGCAAGGATCAGCTTCTGTACTGTTCCTCCTTCATATAAATGAGTAAGTGCAGAGTGGTAGTCTGGCCGGCTGATAGTGCATTTGACACAGCAATCTATGGATTCATATGGTTTGTAAGACCTCTTGGTACTTTATTTGTGTCTGAAGCATGTTGACTGCTTCAGGAGCTTTGCAAGACAAGGGAAAAAAAAAAAAAAAAGAAAAGAAAGAACAATCTGTGCTGACTTGGCCTGCCAAAAATGGTAAATCTGGAAGCAATTACAGAAAATCAACAGCTAAGTCTGCTAGTGCCTCACCACTTTGGGTGCAGTGGGAAAAGCTTATTGAAGGACACAGTTGTATTTGTGTGATCTGGCTCAATGGAAAATACATGCAGCTGAATATGCAGCCTGTGCATTCAGGTTGGGTGACATGTTTGGATTGCAGCAAGTTGTTGACATAGTGTTGCATTGATTGTTTGCAACTTTTCCTAAAATAACATCCATGCTCGTGAAGTAGGCAGTACCTACACTGATAACTTTATGTCAAGAAATGAGATCATAAAAATGTTGGTTGGATAAGACCCCAAAGATCACCCCATTCAAAGCATGACCACCATCACTGCTAAGTCAGCTGTGCCTTTATCCAGCCAAGTTGTGAAAACTCCACAAGACAGGAACTGCCACAATTTCCCTGGAGCATTTGACAAAGAAAGCTTTCCTAATAGCAAGCCTGAGCCTCCCCACCTGCCATGTGTGCCTGTTGTCCCTTGTTACATTCTCTGAAACCACCAAGAATCTGGATCTGTCATCTTTGTACCTTCTTTTCAGGCTGTTCCATCACCATTTGGCTGCTATTCCATCACCATTTGGGCTCCCCTTCATTGGGAAAAACAAGCCCAGCTCCCTCCCCCTCTCTCATGCTGCATCTGCACTCCAGACACTGGACCATAGTGGAACCCCTTAGCTGGACCTTTTCAGTTTATTTCATATCCTCCTTGAGACAAGAGTCCCAAAACTGGATGTTGTACTCCACCTGCAGACTTACCAGTGCTGTGCAGATATCCAGTTCAATCTGCTGGCCACTCTCCTCCCAGCACTCTGATCATGTAACCTGCACTTAGTTATCTGCAATAAGATCACATTCTAGTCCCACACGCCTCTTGTCACCCACCATGGCCCCCAGGTCCTTTCCAGCAGAGCTGTTACTTCACAGCTCGAGGTTATTCTTTCCCACATGCAGAGCTTTTTCCTGTCTCCTTGTTGAACTTCATAGGATTGCTGAGATTGCTGCTGTCATAGAGGTACATTGTTCTTGCACTTGCTCTTCTAATTCTTCACATTTTTAGAGAATGCTGGTGACACAGCAACATAGTTCCAGGCATTACCAATTCCTTTAGCTGCTCAGAGCCCCCAGGAGTCTCTTTGCTCCTATCAGTGACACAACATACCTTGCTCTCACAAGGACTCTGAAAAATCTCTCTTCTTTGCTTTCTTGATTTCCACACCCACCTTTGTTTTTCTTAACCCCCACATATTCATGTTCATTCATTTCTTTTTTATCCAGATGGGGTTTCTTTCCTGAATAGTACCCACTTCTGCTGGCAAGCCAGTCCTGACCATCTCTCTGTCACTAGCATGGAATATTAGTGCTGCAAGAGCAGCTCCTGTGGGTGGGGGATTGTTGAAGTGTTAGCCAAAAACCAACAGGGGAGTGCCTGTGGGAGGTCATGGCCATGGCCCACTGTCCTCTCTCCTGCTCTGTGCTCCCTCTCTGAGCCAAATAACAAAGCATTTGTTCCTGACAAGCAGATGGGGATGAATTGGCAAGGAGTCCG